AAGAAGAAGAAGAAGAAGAAGAAGAAGAAGAAGAAGAAGAAGAAGAAGAAGAAGAAGAAGAAGAAGAAGAAGAAGAAGAAGAAGAAGAAGAAGAAGAAGAAGAAGAAGAAGAAGAAGAAGAAGAAGAAGAAGAAGAAGAAGAAGAAGAAGAAGAAGAAGAAGAAGAAGAAGAAGAAGAAGAAGAAGAAGAAGAAGAAGAAGAAGATTTCCCCTGGTGACGGTGATACTTACCTACATTTATTGCATCTCTTTCACCCTGCTTTGGCACCATCTCGTTGCTACAGAACCGCGGACGCAGATCCGAACTCAGACTTCGAACGCCGCATGGTTCCCTTGCGCATCCCCAACGCCACCCAACTCTGGCGTCCAGGAAGCTGCTTGGAGGCTCTGCAAGCATGTGCCCCGTTCCAGAACCTCATCGGCTTACCTACATCACGGCGTACGCATCATTCATGGAATGCACCATGAATAGCGTGAGAGACGTGAGGCTGCTGCGTCTGTGCGGGGGGGCGTCAGTGAACAACCCGAGCACCGACAAGGGCGTCTCTGTCTTCTTCGACCGGATCGGCTGCCAGGCCACCGATTCTCTCGTCCCGGATTGCCTGTCTCCTCTGACGAGGCAGTCACAGACCATCACATTACGATCCCCGGTGGCGTAGATGGAATGCGCATCTGATGCGCCGCCACTTCTCAAACCCATGGGTGGCCCTTTTCGGTGGCAGTTGTCGGTCAACGAATAATTTTGACCATTGGTTTTTTCTAATCGACCGGTTCGAATTCCAGGCTCGATTCTGGTTTGATTCGAACCGACGTGGAGGCCGCTTGATGCGGAGGTGGCGTGTGCTTCCCATGGATCTGGAAAGAAATCTGAACCGTTACTGTTCGATCGGAACTTGTTCGACCGGATCAGGCTCGGTTTATTGAGCCGGACGAAGCAGGCCGGTCCGCGGTCCAAATTCATGTCACTGTCAAATGATTATGTTATCATTTAACAGTGAAATTATAGATTTTATGTTAAATGATTGTAAAGTTATTTCTATTTCAAAGCAAATGGATGGATCATATGATTTAATATCGAATTAATTAATTAATTAATTAATTATTATTATTTAAAATGATATAAAAGAAAAAAAATTAAGACAAATGTCGTCCATTTCATTACAAAGCTAATGGGTTGCCCTAAGACGGATCGGAATTCCTTAACTGGGCACCCTCTCGCGGACACACGCTCGGAAGAGAACAAAGCGAGGAAGGAAATAAAAGAGGAAAAGAAAAGGCGGTGCGAGGTCTTCAAAGTCTCCTTTCTTTTGCGCTTGCGCACCTCTCTCTCTCTCTCCCTCCCTGTGTGTAAACCCCCATTACCGCCCCCTCTTCGTCCGGTTCTTCCTCTTCCTCTCTCTCTTCGCCTCTCCACTCTTTCTGGGTTCGAAGATGAGCGGCGGGGGCGCTAGGGTTTCGATCCCGGCGGGCGTGCGGCGGACGATCCAGAACATCAAGGAGATCGCCGGCAACCACAGCGACGAGGAGATCTATGCAATGCTCAAGGAGTGCGGAATGGATCCCAACGAGACCGCCCAGAAGCTGCTGCTCCAAGGTCCCGTTCCCCCTCCCTTCAATCTCCCCCCTCTCTTGATGCCTGCTGCGCTTTCCCCATCCGTGGGTTCCGTGCTCAGTTGTTGATTTCTGATGGGCGTCGGTTGTTTGGAGGTGCGGTGATGATTGTCATCTGGCGAATTGATTCGCAGTATTTGGGCTGTGGAGTTTCCTGAGGATCGACCGTTTCCCCACCTTTGGCGTTATCAACGCAACCGAGTGGATTTCTCGGGCAGGAGATTTGGGGGTTTTGACTTGCGAAATGCATTCGTATGATTCGTTGTTCTGAATTAGGTCGACGTTTGGTGATTGCCGTAGCTTGGTCGTCAAGCTGCATGCTGCTGGAATAAAAACGAGTATTTTCGATATAGAACACAGAGTTGTCTTTGATTGGCTCCGTATTTTCTGTTTAAATTATTCTTTGTGTTATAACATCGGACTGAAACTAACCGTGCTTAAGATTGGTTCTTTTATCTGCATTATTTGGTGAAGAATTATTTTTTTCCTTGTGGTATAGTGTGTGATTTAGTTGTATTTGTCGTGCACAACATGGAAAGTGACCACTGGTCTTCTTTGGTGGCGTATGGCTTAGTGATATATATGTGCTCTGCCACTATAATAGATCGTAGCTTAGGCTGTAATTGTACCTCGCTAAAGGAGTATTGCCGATATCTTGAACTGATTTACTTGGTGTCATGTTCTAAATTAATTCTGTTTCGGAAAATCTAGTGGTAATACATAGTTGGCATTTTTACAATATTAGGTGATTAACAGAACCAAGAATGTAATTCTAGCAGCAACTATTCATGTTTCATATCATACATTTTTGCATACATTAAACTTAGGTAATCCATACATTTTTGCATAACAATAATGGTCTTTTTCTTTTTCCATGTTATGCTCCTTTCTTTGTTTCTTAAGCAATAATGCATGCCCACATCAGTTGCATATTCTGTAAGTAATCACTTTTTTGGTGCGTATGTATACACCTGAATGCAAGAAGGTACTTGCTCATGTGCTGTTGGTCTGATTGTCTACTAGGTCATAATTTTCTTGGCTGTTTTTCGCTTTACAGATCCCTTTCATGAGGTGAAAAGGAAGCGCGATAAGAGAAAGGAGGTAAATATGTTTCTCTGTTTTTTCCAATTTTTCGTTCTACTCCTGGCAGTACTCTTTATTTGTGCTAAGAAAGTTGTAAGTATACTGTGTTACCACCCTACTTTTTACATCTTGGCAACAAAGATATGCCAAAGTTGTAAGAATAAATTACGCCATTTCCATTTAGTTTAATAAACATTTGATTGCTAGACATGCTGTTTTGCCATGTAGCCTGAACATTAGAAAACTAATGGGAACCTATATTGAGTCACACGAAGATCCAGGTTCAGCTCATATTAGATTATCTGAGTTATATCTTCTTCTTCTTTTCTTTTCTAGCTTTATATGTTGTTTTTGTGTGTTTTTTAATGAATTGAATTTTTTTCTCCCAAGTCCCTTTAGAGTTTGAATAGGAGTGCCATTGAAAGAACTCAAATGGCTGTTATTTAACTCTGGTAGGAGTCGTGCAGAAAAAAAGGTGCTAGTCAAAATCTTCTTCTTGTTCTCTGCTCGGTGAAACCATTTATGAAAAAGAGTTGAATACAAGTATGGCTGCAGTAGTTAGAAAGAGATGACTTGGCTATTACTTTCTTATATGATCATACAGTAAGGGCCTGAGTGTGGATGGTTTCAGATCTGGGCAAAATGTTTGAAATTGGACCATTTGTGGGTCGGTTTTAGGCTGATTTTAGACCTGAAATAAAACATATGTCGTTAGTTTTGGATGAAGCCTTATGGACTTTGGCCAAATTTGCTTGTCTTAACTGGTTGACAACCTGTTCTAACCTGCCAGAAGCATGATCATTCATGTAAATTATTGGATGAAGTCTGCATGCATGCTTCCCCCATATACCATTACTCATTCTAGCTCTTCTCTATTGTTACATCTCTTTCCCATACAGTCAACAAAGTTCTTTGTTCTTTTTCTTTAAACTCATAATGTTTGCTATTTCCTACAGACTGTGAGGGAGCCTGCTGATTCTAGGTGGAGGCCAGGACTGCAGGGACGAGGAGGTAGGGGAGGTCGAGGAAACTACCCACGATCTGTGCCTAGTGGTATGTGCTTTCTTTTTTAATATAATGCTCAAACTTGGCATAAGAGTAACGTGCTCTATGCAGTTATATGTTTTATGTGTTGGTCTTAAATTTATCTATGCATCTAATTGCATTTCAATGTGAGAAGTTGACTACATGTTAGTTTTGAGCTAACCACTTCGGGTTAGCATGTAATTTTGATACTGTTTATTCTATTCTTGTTGTGTCAAATGTCTCATTCGCATATTAATGACAATTTTGTAACTTATCCAATATCAGTTTCACTAATAGATATCTGTTTCCATGCCCATCTTCTGCAAATCAGCAATTCATCTTTTTATCATTTTATGAAATGGGAACTACATGTTCTGTCTTCGTTTTATGTGCATATTTTACATTTTGTTATGTGAAACTTTGTAGCACATGTTTTTTTGTATTTCTTAGGTGTACCCTGTGATCCAAAAGTTCATGTATTGGTTATTGTTGCCATGTTTGCTACTTATTGGATGTTTATTAATGGTTATTGATGAAAAAAATTTATTGCCTACAAGATGCTGCTGCTGGAAGAAATGTTACTTCAGGGAAGGATAATGGACTAAACCAAGGTACGGATAAAGCCAATACATCCTCTTCATCCACCATTCCTGACACAGAGAATAGGTCTGCAATTTCCATACCAAGGTACCTATTTTGTCTGTTAACTTTGGCTCTGAGTTAGAGCATACTGATTTTGTTAAGCGTGGATGACGTATTCTTTTGCCAATGCTCATACGAAGGCATATATTAAGTTATTAGTACACTGGATCAATGTCTGATTAATTGTGTCCTTATTTGAGTTCTAATTTTTGTGGAACAAGTTTATGTTGCAGATTGATGAACATTTAAAATTAAATAAGTCAGTCTTTTTTACTCTCTGGTCAAGAACTCATGGGTGTATCATGATAGTTACGTAGATCATATTATTGTGCAGATGATGAGCTTTGACACCACCATAGGATAGATGCTCTGTGATCTTGGTTTTAAAGGTTTGAATTATTTGAACAACCTCTTTGCTTACCAGGGTAAGGTTTCATATATTGATCCTCGAAAATTCTCGAATGGTAGGATCCTTTTGCATTTGGCTGCCATTTTTGAACCATTTTCATCTGGATCAAAAAGGAAACTAGCGAAGATTTATGCATTGTTTAAAGCTGAAATTTGTGAGGTAATAGGAACAGCAACTTCTGTTCTACTAATGCATATATAAAGCAATGCTGAACTATTGTATTCCAGTTGATAATAAAGCACAAAACTGTTATTTGTTATTTACCCCCACAACTTGTACATATAATTGAATAACCATAGTTGATGTCTTAACAATGTATTGGGCGTGCCTTGAGTTTAATATACTGTTTGCTTGTTATATTATCTTTCTTTTCATTTTTTGTATGATTTATCTGGTAGAACATATATACTTCTATTCTCTGTAATAGAATTTATTTTCTCCAACCAACTATGCAACTTCTTTAACTGCATCTTGTGTATTGACCTAACTATATTTCATATTAATCGTTAATTTTCAGCTCCATTTCTGGTGTTGCCAGTGATCCCAGCAACATAAATCATCCAATGTTGTCTCAGGGGTCCAATGTATCTGATGTGAGTGGCATTGCCCAGTGGGATAAAAGTTCTGGGGCTGTAGCTACTAAGCCAGGGATTTCCGGGTCAGTTCTTAAAGATGTAAACCATGGTTTTGCATCTGGACGCCCAGATTCAGACCAATGTTCATCAGACAAGACAGCGGCACCTGTTCTGGAGATCTATGCTTCAGTCTCAGACCCTGTGCTAGTGCCATCTCTTGATACACACAAAGCTTGTGAGTTGGAGGCTGTTAAACAAGTAACAGGGATCCAGAGCTCCATTGTTGAGACTGCCACTAGTAGGGCTGCATCTAGGGATATATCTGGATATAAGTTATCATATATAAGTGGAAAAGGTTCTTCTGACAGTAGTGATGCCTTCATCCATGGAAAGATACAGATCAAACCACAAGGACCTGGAAAAAGTGAACTCTCAGAAAAATCTCATAGTAAATCTTCTTTTTCTGGGTCTATAGGCAGTAGACCATCCTCTAATTACAACAATCGTTCTCAACATCTTAGTGGTTCACAGAAAGGTAGACCTTAACATGTTCTTCATAGCAATTTTTTATATATGTACTGGGTCATGAGTGATTGGTTGATTATATACAGAGCTGTTATAGTGCTTTTCTTATCATGATCATTTACTACATACATTGGAAATTTGAGAAGCAACATAAGATACTAAACCACATATTTTTTCTTTTTCACCATTATGAACTTAGCTGGAATTGTCTATGTCATAAGGCACCTTTGCGTTATTTGTCCGCAAATGGTCAACCCAGAAGCAACCTCGTATAAGTCTTGAAAGATCTACAAAAAGAAAGTTGATTAGTTCAAGCGAACGAGTGACGAACAAGTCTCGACATCCCGCAAAAGAGGGTAGCTTTTACAAGCAATTTAGGAAGTATTTAGTGTGCAAAGAGAAAGAGAGGAAGGGAAAACAAGGACTTTATAAGGTAAATGAATAGTCGTAAATCCACAAACGATAGCTCACCGGTTGTCGAGCACGTTGACAAGTACTCGTAGGCTTTACGTGCGAAGTTTTGAATCCAATCAACGCCCAACACTATCCCAAACCCCCATCTAGTCTTGTACGACTTGGGTGGTTTTTGGGTGTTGAGATGACTGATGTTTTGCACTGCACTGTAGTCTGTAGAAAACAAGTCATGCCACGTGAAAGCTGGGCCGTTTTGGGGCAGTTTTGTCCTTTCTGGTGAGCAGTCACTCTATAGCTCTGCAAACTGCTCCTGCTTACAGGTTTTAAGCAAAACCACACAAAAACAAGGCAAACACATTGCTAAATGAATGTACAAGCAAACACGCAATGAACGGTCCATTGATGAAGGTGTTGCGGGCGCGCGACGACCATCCGTGACACTAAGGACTAATCAATTGGTTTAGTACTTTATGAAATATACGACATGTTCATTTCTTAGGAGATAAAGTAAACCTTTCATTTTGTTGTTCTTTAGTTTCTTATGTGTTCTTGGAGTTGAGATATTAAATTATATAATCAGATGCTATCAATATTTAATATGTTCATAGCAAGTTTGTTGGTTTCTAAACTAAGCTTTTTGGTACCAAATTAATTAGTTGATATTGATATCAATGTTCTATAGCAAGCTTCTGTGCATGATCAACTTCCTTGGACAGCATGATTTCTGTTGAGCCATATTCATGCATTTGTAATCCAATTAATGGTACTTGTCCATCTGAATGCCCATTTTTGACCATATACACAAACTGCCAAGAATGGCCCCTTCTTTGCCTAAAAAGGTGCTGCAATGCCCTAGTCGATCAAGTTGAAATATTCTTTAAATTTAGAAGTCATTGGTTGTCAAACATGAATGAGGGATGAATGCACGGACGGTTAGATTGTGGTTCTCTGTTTTCTGGAGCTTTGAGTTGCTGTACCCCAAGTATTATGGTTATCACAGAATATTTGGGTTATTTTCCTTAAATATAAAGACTAAAGATCAAAATATCTGTAATTTGTTTGTTTACATTTCTCAAAGCTTTCGCTAGATCTTGTTTGCTCGAGTGCCATATTGCATTCTGAAATAGAAACTGAGATAAGCATCTCCATCAGTTGTTTATATCAGTTGTAATACACCAATTGTCTGCTTGTCACATACTGATTAGTACCTTAGCAAAAAGAATTCTAGAGATTGTTAACCACCGGGCTCTTATTTTGACCTTAAGCTGCATATGAAATATATAAGGTGATATCAAGTTAAGAGAAATGCTTCATGTCATGATCCAGGTCCCCAGTGGTGGTAATGGTGCACATCAACAAGTGCACTGGCCCAGCCTCACGATCATCTCTGTCCTGTGAGGTGCACCACATTTGCCAGTCCAGATTTAAATCGTGATTTAAGAGTCACGACGTGCGGCACTGGCTGCATGATGTTTGCCTTTGATGTTTACTATATAGACTTTTAACTTATATTGGCATTCTACCTTGGCAGACTAACAATCTTGTTGGTGCCTTGTAATAAACTACATTTCTAGTTGCATAAATGGATTTTATAAAGGAGTTGTCTGGAAATGCAAATCTTCAAAATGGTAAAATTTGTAGCTTTTTTGTTCTGGAAGGACACAAATGAATTTGTGTGATGAGGTAATGTTGTATCAATGCAAGTTATAAATGATGACTAAATTGATGAGGAATTTTTACTACCTAGACAAAAAGATCTTTTAAAAGATTATTTGAGAAAAAATTTGATTCCTAGAAAATGGCATGAAAAATGTATTTGGTTTAATGATTTAACATTTCTCTATTTGGTTAATGTTGAGGAGTTAAACTTAGAAGTCCTTTTTCTTGTCTTATTCTTGTGCTGATGAGTGACTTTAAGGGAAAAATGTAAGAGTTGATCACAATGGTAGTAAGTAGTAGCAATTCTGAGAATGAGAAGTGAGAATTTTATTTAATTTTTTTAGACAAAGTTCTAGAGGTATTAATTAAGGGTTGGTTGTACATTGCATATAGATTTTATCTTAAGTGCTGAAACTACACAATTTTAGGTTTGTTAAACTTAAAAGTTGGCTAAGTAGCACCCTTTTTTTTTTCTTATTCAGCACCTGTTCCTAATAAAGAGTGGAAACCAAAAACCATACAAGCGAATGCTGCTCAAGCATCTGAAATGACTGACACTTCTGATGTATTGGTGGTGGCTGAAGCTGTTGCTCAATCGTTACCAGCAGCATGTTCTGTGACCACAGAGGAACCTGCTGTGAAGTTGGAAAAGAAGGTAAATGAACTGAAGCTAACAGAGAAACAACATGTCATTATTCCAAACCATCTTCAAGTGCCAGAGTCTGAAAGACATGGCTTGAGTTTTGGCAGCTTTGATGCCAATTTTGAGTTGAATATGGTTGCTGCAAATGGCCCTGCTAGAGTTGAAATTGATACACCATTTTCTGAGTCACCTGAGATTGAAGAAACTATCGAGAAGCCATCTTTAAGGTCAGATACGACATTTACATTCTGCTTTAACAATTACATTTGAAGATGTGGCGTTCTGCATATTTGGATATTTATTTTTTATGTTGGATCAGGAGATTATGATGCACACATAATGAACTCATTTTGTATTTGATGAGATGTAATAACATTAAGAGAAGTAGATAACCATCAAGTTTATTATGTACGGTAGAAAATGCACATTCATACTAACATCTGATTACAAAGCTTTGGAGCTTGAAAATGTTTTTTGCGATCATTTTTTAGCTGTTTCTTTCTATACTAGAAGCTTTGCAGAAGCTTTGCAGAAGCTTTTCTAACTATGGTAGCATTTTTTGTTGAATGCTCCTCCTCTAAATGTACAATAATAAAGAGATCTGCTGGTAACAAGGCACTGTTATGATATTTGTGCATTAGGATTTTTTTTAAAATTTTTTTATTCTTCTAACTTCTAAGAATACTAGTTTATTTGCTAGTTGATGTATCTGTCATTTATATTTAATAAAAAATATTTCACCATTATGATATTTATTACATTAGAAACTTCTCATATAGATGCTTCCAAGAAGGTTTTATTATTTGTTAGCTAGTATATATGTCACTGGTATTAATAAAAAACTTATGGATTTAATTTGACAAATGACATGTAATGCACAGTGTCTTTTCCATCTTTAATCAAAAAGAAATATCTGTAGGTATTGACGTCTACAATCATAATATCTTTGTTTTATTTGCTACTATTTTATATGATAGTATGAAGTTGTCTTTTAAAAAGTATCTAGGGAATTGATCTTTGGTTCAAGAACTAGAGAGCTCGATCTGGCATTAGAGGATCTCTGTTTCTCTGTTTTTCGTCATTCCTTTTTTCATTACTTCTACCTTTTTTTTCTGCTTAGGTTATATTGATTTTACTACTATATGCTGTCTCTTCTAACTATTTAGTTTTCTTTCTTTTTTACATGCAGCATTCATACTGCATCCTCAGCTGCTCAAGAAGCGGACTCTCCGGATCATCCTCAATCACCTGAACAGGTGCCAGATAGTTATTCAACCGAAGAAGCTGGTGTTTCTGCTAGTAAATCTGCTGCAGCGGAATATGACCAATCTAAACAACAAGCCAATGTGTCTCCAGAAGGCCCTCAGAATTTGGTCATTCAATCTGCACCATCATATCCATCACTAGGAATGACACCACAAGTTCTCGGAAGCCAATTTTCACCTTTTGAGAACTCGGAACCACAGGCTCGTGATAGCTCCCGTCTTCCAAACTTTCTGGTATGGTAACACTCATGAGTCATGACCTTTATATTCTTGCTACGCAGGTCATGCAGTGTTTCTCTACAACAATATCTTTTTCTTTATGTCAATGTTTTGATATTTGTCAATAGCATCATTGCTACTGAAACTAATCTGGTAGCAGCTAATGATAATAGGATGTCTATGGAGGATCAGTTGTTGTCACTTTTTGAATTGGATTTCTATGGTACTAGGATATCTATAGTATTGGGTTGTACAGTCTGGTAGGTTCACTGTATCAAGCTATGGGCCCAATGTTGTTTTCTTTTCAAGCCAAAATTTTCCTTTTCGTGTCTCTCTCTCTCTCTCTCTCTCTCTCACACACACACACACACACACATACACACACACACACAGACGCACTCTCTCTCTCTCTCTCTCTCTCTCATGCTTCCTCTTTCTCCCTCCCCCTTCTCTGCCTCGTCGTTCCCTTGGTGTTGTTGTTGCCTCTATCTTGCCACATCACCATTGCTACATCCTTGTTCGGGTCATCACCTCCTCATATTTATTCCTCAACAACCATCTTGCTCTCTTGCCTCTTGTAATCCACAACTTGCAATGGGTCCCTCTGATCACTATGGAGTCCAGTAGAATCTTGTTTAGATGGATAAAGGCTTTTGGGCCCATTTGGACTTGGAAGGGAGCTTAGATCCTCTACTTCTTTACAAGACTATGTGACAAGGGTAACATTCCCAAGTTGGGTATTTGGCTAAGGAAGAGGAAAAGATTTGGAATATATTTTGGAGTAGAATACTTTTTTGATCAACTGTTGGAATCTGGGTAGGTTTAGATAGAAGACATAAGTAGGAGGACATTTGAGTGTTACTTTTTTGATCAACTGTTGGAATCTAGGTAGGTTTAGATAGAAGACATAACTAAGAGGACATTTGAGTGCCAAGAACCTGTATTTTTTATCTTGATATTTTTTTTTACTTTTTCAATAATCTTTAGAACTGGTTTAGTTTATTAGTCTTGATCTCTTGAGGAATAGTTTACTTTCCCTTGAACCTGAGAAGTGTGCATTGTATATGAACGAGATTTATCAGTATGCATGATGTCAGTGCTTCCCTGTGTTGATGATTGAGTTGAGGATGCTGTGAGAAGATCTCAACAATTACGGTGTGTGGTTGGAGCTAGTTGAAAAGTTTGCAGAGGAAGATCATCACAATCCCCTGCCACATACCAATCCCACATGTCAGGCCATCAATGTCCAAGTAAAACAAGTGGTGGCTCACAGAGTCAGGGAACCCATGTGGTTAGCATTTTGCTGATAGGTTGTTCAACAAGGCACATAACTTTGATGAGTTGCTTTCTTAATTCATGCAACCATAGGCACCATCTATTGATTTGAAGTTTAAAAATGAAACCACCCATGTTCTCATTAGTTATTGGCTTAGAAGATCAAGCATCAACTGCTTTATTTGCTAGAATGCTTTGAGCTCCTGAATCTGTGTTGTCACTAATTTTAATGAAGCCAACCGAAAGCAAGAGCAAGGTAATGTATTATTTGAGGACCCTAGGTGAAAATCAGACAATTTATGGTCCTAGTTCATGAGGAAGACAAAATGATCAGGAAGTTGTTGGTGTTGGTCTAGAATTGCAACCACCAAAAGATTCAAACATCATACTATAAGCCATGTTGGAAAAGGATATCTATTCTCCACTGTACATTTCTCGACATATTTCAAAGGAAAACTTGTCTCTATGTACTTTACAGTGGTTCTGCTCACAATTTTATCAGTGATGTTGTCCAACAACTAAATTATGGCACAAGCCCATCAACTTTTTTGGAGTCTGCTTGGTGATGGAAGGTTGATGATCTGCTCTACCAGATATGTAAACATGCTCATTTGCCTCCAAGGTGAGAAGCACAAGGTCAACCTCCTTTGCCTGATGTCAGTGGAGTATCTTACTCTTGATATAAAATGGTTCAAAAAAGTAATACCCAATTTGATTTGACATTTCAACACACTGACAATCGAGTTCAAGCACAATAGTTGAGAAGTTGAAGCACCAGCAGATCGACCTACTTGCAAGATTAAAGAACCAAAGTCCTTTTATCATTCTTCACACAAGTTGCTTTATCTTGAGACAAGACTGATGTCAAAAGGCACTCGGAAGCAATGCCTCACTTGAGCACCTCTATGGGCCCTGGGTGAAGCACCTTCAACTGGCTATCTCCTAGGCGTGAGCCTTTGTTGAGGAGCACCTAGGTTGGCTGGGGCTACCCGAACCAAATTGGCCTCCTATCATTTTCCCCATTAGGGACTTGATCCAAACTGAATCCCATATCAAACTCTCTCGATTCAGTTCAGTTAACTAAACTGTGCAATGATCCCCCCTCCCCATTTATGCCTTGCTGGCACCTATGCACTTGGCCCTATTGTTTCTGCCACCAACATATGGCAACTCACTTTCCTCCATAGATTGTGTCTCCTCTCTCTTTCATATGTCCATTCTTTTCTCTCGCTTTCCTCATCTCTGTGCTCCCTCTTTCTTTTCTCTTCTTTCATCTCTGTTCTCCCTTCCTCTCTTGTTCCCTTCCTTTTGTGTTCTCCTATTTTGCCATGTTTGGGCCTTGCTTTTGTAATGTAAGCATTGTACTTTGCTCAATCCAGGGCCTAATGCCTCAGGCAATAATGGACCTTGACGCTTTACAGCCCCTAGCCCCTAGATTTCTTGACAACACTAGGAAAAGTTAAACATGAGGGGGAATGAGTTGTTTTAATGTGCCTTGCATGATAAATCTTGTGTTCTTTCTCCACCTAAGCAGTGGAACCTAACCCATCCTCACACATCTTTCTAGTTGTCTCCCAGCCGTGGTGTTACCCAACCAGTGGGACCCAATCCCCCCTTGTTTTTTCTATGCATCACCCAATCATGTTTGCAAGTCTGTCAGCTAGCAGTGATTGAGTGTGTTAGCATCCTTCAGCTTCTCATCATTGTCCCAGTCTCATGCAACTCACCATTACCGCATGCACCTTCTACATGGTGATTGTTGGCCACGCCAACATCCTCGGTTATCTCATTCTTATGCCTTGTATGATGCACAATCTAGATGTGACTTTCTCCACTCGTGACGAGGTCCCAACAGGACTCATTCTATTTTGATGGAGAAAGGACATGAGCCCCATTTGGATTGAGAAGATGGCCGATGCCTCCTGTTGTTTGTGAGACTAGGTGACTGGGGTACTAAGCCCAAATTAGTTTTTTGGTTAAGCAAGAAGAAATGACCTCAATTAATTTCTGGTATTATTTAATATGTGATGTCTAGATATAGTCTAGATGGGGGAATAATTCCTAATAATTGATTTTTATTTATTCTATATGGATTTTCTGGAACAATACTAGTTTACATTGTTGATCTTAATCTTCTGGGGCTTCTACTTTTTGATTGGAGTACTAAGCACCAAAGACAACTCTCTAACATTTTCTCATTTCTCTTCTAACTTAAGTTCCTGTACTTAGTTCACCTTAGCATATATTTGATTTTGGATGGGTTAAACTTACTTGGCCATCTGATATTCCATTTTGTAACAAGTTGAAATTTAACCAGAAAAATGTCTTAATATAGAACAACTAAAATTGAAATGTAAGTAGTAACCTTGCTTCTCGTTTTTGCTTAAACTAAAATCAGAATTGACATCGACTGGCCTTTGTTTCAGATGGCAGACCTGCTTCATCTTTTGTATCGTTTTGGTTAGGATGTTGAGTTTCTGTTGTACAGGTGCATCAACCCTATGACCCATCCACAAGCTACTACACACCATTCTATCGACCTACTGGTGATGCTGATGGTCGAATCTCTCCATTTCTTGCATCCAGTGCCTCCTCCAGGTACAATGCGAACATTGCAGTCCTACCGGCTCAGACAGGCCAGACTTCTCAAGAGGTTTGCTTTTAAGCTTTCGGCTTGATTAATCTTTTTGTTTTAAATATATAGAGATATATTTTTGGATTGTGTCATGCTAAATACAATCATCACACTCCAACATTGGTGATTGTTTTCAGAAAATCATATGCTCTGCCAATTTTCCTTTCCACCGAACAGCTTGTAGTTGTAGACTTATTGTAAGATATTATTGGATCTAGAAATTTTTGTGATTGTATTATACAATAAGTTAAGCAAAACCTGTGTATTTTACTACTCTCAGCAATTTACTTGTGATTATAGTGTTGTATCGAAATCTTCTTCTTCAAATTCTCAGTATCATGGTCTTCGCATTCTGGTTAAGATTCTGATGCTCATGTTTTTCCCTGTCCAGAATACCAACTCCGCTGTGCTCTCTACAGTTGGCTCAACTCTTGCAACTCAAGCTGCAGGTGCTATGCAGGGTTCAGTTGCTATTCCTCAGCAACCAGTTCCTGTCTTCCGGCAACCTGCTGGTTTACATTTATCTCACTACCCTCCCAACTACATTCCATATAACCAATACTTTTCTCCATTTTATGTTCCTCCCCCTACCCTTCACCATTTCTTGAGCGGTGCCGCATTCCCTCAGCAACCTCCTACTGGCAGCATGTATCAGACTCCTGGAGCTGCAACTCCTGCCACTGCTGTCAAGTATTCTATTCCACAATACAAGGCTGGTGCTAACATTGGTAATTCTGCAATTGTTGGGTTGCCAACTGTTTATGGAACATATAGCTCGACTCCAGCTGGCTATACATCTGGTCCTGCTGCTAGCAGTGGAAACTCAACTGCCAATGAGGATCTTGGGTCTTCCCAATTTAAGGAGAACAGTGTTTATGTTCCAGGACAACAGGTATTATTTTTTCTTTTGATACAGATTTTTGTATGTGATGTTTGGTTCATGCTTAGTTATTGTGTTCTGCTGCTATTCTAGATGGATAAACCTCCAATTTAGAGTTACATAAAAATTACTAAAATTTATGATTTTCTTTGGAACCTTAGTTGTAGATCTTTTTTTATGTTTCTGGTGCTTGATCTTAATCTCATTATAGAGTGATTGATTTTTGCTGCTTCACGTGAATTTCGCAAGCAGCTACGGATTTTTTTGCTCCTTTTAATGAAATTCCAGAAGGGCTTGGTGCTTCTTTGCTATTTCTCAGAGTCTTTGGAATTACGTGTTGCATCATTAGCTTAGGAATTGGCTAGAGAATGAGCAGTTATTAGCAGAATCATTTGACAAGTGAAGCTGACTGATTCAGTCTATTAATCAGGGAACTGATACCTTTTCTATGTTTAAGTTGGATAGCGTGATCCTGAAATCGTATGTGACGTTTCGTAGGAACGAGTGCATAGAAGATGCTAGGAGTTGCAATGTCTGAGTGTAAGCAAATTTTAAGCAGGGATTTTGTGTGGATGATGTTAACTGAAGCTTTTCTTTTGAGGCAAGGATAGGCAACATCTATGAGCTTATTTTATTAAGATTATGAAATAAGGAGTACAAATGAAGGTGAAAAAAAAGATGAGCAGTAACAATTTTGAAGGAAGCTGCAGAAAGAGGGAGAGGGAGTGAGAGTCCTTAAGTCAACGTAAGAAAAAGCACGTTATAGCAAATGGATAAATATGGTGCAAGCTTCTTCTTGGCTGTGTTTTGCCCCATAGTCACTAACTATGAAGGAATAAAATTTGATTATATTTCAAACAATTAGAGGATGAGATTAGCGTCGTGGTGTGGTTGCTCCTTCACGACCCAAGTGATCATGGTTTTGAGTCAATAAACTACCTCATTGTTTCCATGTGTAAGACCATGCACTTAGTAGACCTATTTGGAGTCATGGTGAGATTTCTCCTTTATGACCAAAATGTCAATTTTCAATTCAATAAACAAACTTTTTGTCTACATGAGTGAAACTATATTGATCGACACTCCATAGACCTGTACTGGCAGAGTCTGGTGCCACACCATCCTTTTTAATATTTTACACAACTGATCGATTTTTGAGGCATATTTCATCAGAATGGTATCTTACATTGCTAATGTCATTTTAGGTAGTTAATCCTGTGATTAGCACCTCCAACTTAAAGATTTTATCTAGTCATACTAATTGTACTTCGTATCCTCTGATCTAGATTCCTTGAATAAATGTGAGATTTTATCTGGTCATACTAATTGTACTGGGTATCCTCTTATCTACATTTCTTAAATAAACGTGACCAACTACCCTGGCAGTTTGATCACTCTCACTATGTAATATGTATTTGTATCTACTTTTCTGTAATTTTCTGATTAAAAACCTGTTATAAGATGAGCCATCACTGATGACGAGTTGCTTAAAATGCTTGTTTCAAAATTTGACTAGTTCTGAGGTTCAACTGACGAAGTTTTTCCGTATTGGATGATCTTTTCATTTTCTTTTATTGATGCTATCGATGTTGGGTGACCAGGGCTCGAGTTATGAAAAGAGCCTGTTTGATTGCAGTGGTATTGCTGCATTGTCACTCCCTAGCCCTGATCGGCAGGGAGCCTTCTACACATGGTCACTTTTTTGTTTTTGTTTGGTGCTCTATGTCCCTGTGCAATGATTGTCGTTTCGCTCATACCAGTACGAAAAAAGCACCACATACCGAACTGAGCGTTAATCGATATGTGGACCCACCCTAGTTCGGTCCGTCGTATAAAAGGGAAGTGGGAAACCCTAAATCCTACTTTCGTGCTACTTTCACTTCTCACACGATTGTTGCGAGCCTACGGCTTCTCAACGCCACGACCTCCGCTTGTCGTGTTCGACACTACACATCGCCACGTGACTGATGCTGTGATCAATGCTTCTCATGCAGGCGGCTACCGGCGACCTTCACTTGCCGTCGCCACGTCTCAGATATGTCTCTTCTCCCCTTCCTCTTCCTCTTTCCTTCTTCCTCCTCCTTCGCCGCTTCCTCTTCTTCCCTCTTTCTTCCTCCTCCCTTCACCATCCCTTCCTCTTCTCCCTTTTTACTTTCTCTCCGAAACATTAGTATTTACCGGTGTACCTTGTCGGTACACCGGTACAGATCTGTACATACCAGTCCAACAAATCTCCGAGACAGGTCTGGTATCCAAAATGACGCCTGTGTATACCATACAGCACATGATGAAAATGAAAGTTTTAGATTCTAAAGGTGCTTAGTTCACAAGTTTCCTGTAATTCAATGTTGTTTTCCATTACTAACTGAAATATATTGTTTTTTGGAATCTCTAAGATAATGATAGGCTGTCCAGGAGTTATTGTACTTAATAACTCATCAAGTAGCTAACATGGAAGTTGGGCAGAGTTTGTGGATCCTTATTATCATTATGTGGGATGCGTTTTCTGGTCAGCTTGTGGTATTGATATATTTTGCCAAGGAAACCTGCTGCAACAGTAATTAAAACAGTTGTCTTTTGCATTAACTTGTTGGCTCATTTGTGAAATTATCTGCAATAAATTCTCCATTACCCATGTTCACCTATGCCTTTATATTTCTTTTTGAATTATGTAATTTATGTTGGATAGTTACTGTTACAAGTTTTTATGATGATCTTCTTTGTGGTTATGTGCCATCTCGTTTCATTTTATATGCATCGATTCGTCTTTGTCGTATCTGAATCTCTGTTTTCCTAGCAGAGTGAAGGTTCAGCTGTCTGGATTCCAGCACCTGGACGGGATATATCTGCACTTCAAGCTAGCTCTTTCTACAGCATTCCTCCTCAGGGACAACACATGACTTTTGCAGCAGCGCAAGCTGGCCATGGTGCTTTCAGTGGAATTTACCCCCCAACACCAACTGTCGCAGCTTCTGTTCATCCATTACTCCAACAGTCCCAGACTGTAGCTGGAGCTGTCGAAATGTTGGGGCCCCCTGCTGGTGTTTATCAACAGCCACAACGTGCACAGATAAATTGGACCAATAACTATTGAAAGATGCCAAATCTAAGTTACAGAAGCCATAGCTCGGTGCTAAGGCGACGGTGGATTCTAATGAGAAGACATTTCAAATGCGGTGTCGAGTTGCCTGATTGGAAAGAGTGGATATATGATATCTAGAGGATGGCCATCCTGAACGGAAGGCTTCGGGAGTTGGAGTTGCTAGACTTTGATAGTTCAGGCTATACTTGTGACTGTTACTGACCAAATCTATGCTAGTTGTGTGGTCCCGCTCAAGTTCCTCGTCTTTAGTTGTTTGCTGCTCATTCTTTATCAATTGCTTGTTCTCACTTTCTAATCTGCTAAAGGTACTTCAGTCTGAGTTTCACTTCCACCATCACGCTGCCTTTGCTTGTAAAGTAAATTTTGATAGTGAAAAATGTAGAACAAACAATAATATTTGGTGTAATTGAGATAGCAGCACGTCATTTTTTGTTCGGTATCATTCATCACTGCATCACTAATGTCGCACATACCAAGCGTTTTATTGCCTTCCGGATTTTTTACTCCTGAGATATGGTCCTCATGAGGCATTATGTCCCACCTTTTTCAGAAGGCATTATCTCTCATTTGTTCGACCGAATATAGCATACTCAAGAATAATCTTTGGTGTGGTTTCATTCTACCAAAGAATGTGGTTTCATTCTACCAAAGAACGCTGCGATGTTGCGCCGCAGGTGTATCAATGACAGTGGTTTGCATTCTTGACACTCTGTTTCAATTGCCTTGTTCTTCTTATAATGCTTGATATGCTGTGCAACAGTATATGATTCACCTGTGTGGCATGTGTTTGACTTTGTTCATAATTCTTGCGAGGTTATTTATCCATTCAAGTTACAGTATAGCTGCCATGCTGTCACAATTCCTCTCTGTTTCAATTGCCTTGCTTTCCTTACAAACAGTATATTATTCGACTTTTATCATAAATCTGGTGATTTATTTTTATCCATTCAAGTTACGGTATAGTTGCTGCTAAGCTGTGAGACATGCTGACACATTCCAAGTTTCTTCATGGATAAAGAAAGAATCCAACTCCAGTTTGGCATGGTGGACAAATCACCCATCCTTTTTGTTTTCCTGTGAAGTTATCAATGTTATGGCTGATACTAACCAGGAATTGCAGCTGGTTGTTTATTTCCTCTCTTATTTGCAATGGATTCTAAATAGGTTTCCTGCAGCAGATCAACCGATGGGAGTAACATTGCCAGACGCATCTCGTGGTCTTCCGACATTGGAATCATTTAGTTGCGCAGTGCATGATGCAGACAAACCCGGATTCACTAGCTTACTTGCCTATTTCTGCCGTCAACAAAGAATAACATTTCACTTCAAAAGAGTCATCATATGGTCCGTCACATAGCAATTGGCCGAACGAAGGATCGATCCATGGTAAAACAAAACTCCTCGACTTCCACACGGATAAGCTTTCTCTATTAGCATACATGACAGCAGAGTTGATTCGGAGTCAACCATGTAAAAGTCAAGAAATAATAGCTGGTATTAATTTCGTTGATATTATTATTATTATTATTATTATTATTATTATTATTATTATTATTATTATTATTATTATATGCCATTAATCATCATTTACGATAGGCATTCGTTGTCTTCTTCTGCCACCACACTTCCCGGGGATGAGGAGGAGAAGCTGGTGGTTCTGTGGCCACGAGAAGAGGTCGTGGCGGTTGACACTCCCATCGCCTATTCTCGTGTTCGCAAGCTTCTTCCGCACCTACAATTTAGCTCCGATGCTCCTCGCAAGAACAGGTCAAGCAACGATGCGTCTCTCCAGGCTGAACGTTTCTGACTTGGGCAGAGGATTTATTAAGCTTGTGATCTTGCCATTTAATTGGCCATCCACATATCATTTCCTTTCCCTTTTGATCCAAAGATTTCCGCCCACCTGTAGCTCTCAAGAGAATTCCTGGTATCTGTTCCTTCCATCTTGTTTGTACTTTCATTGGATCTAATGTAGTCGACACTGGTAATCTAACGTGGAACCACTTCATCCTCCTCGGTAGATCATCGTAAATGGCGACCCAAGGACTGAACCCTAGCAAGAACACCAGGAGGGAGAGATCGCCAGAGGACGCCAAGAGTGCTGCCGCACTGGCCATCGACTCGCCCCGCCACGGCGACTCCCGGCCGATGCTCACCAAGCAAGCCAGCCAGAGAGCCAGCTGCCTGTGCTCGCCGACCACCCACGCCGGGTCCTTCCGCTGCAGGCTCCACCGGAACTCTCTCCATCACTCCAGCGGCTCCGTCGGCTCCGGCTTGTCTGAGCTTGCCGAGAAAATTAAGTTCCGGTAGGGACATGGCGGTGGCTCTCTTCCGTGTCTCCCATGGAGGACGCAAGCGCGCAAGCGTTGCTCATCTTCTTCCTTAATCATCTCGGCGGAAACTGTTCTTTGTGCCTTTCCATGGAGTTCTTGTTCTCTGTGTATATACATTGGATGACACTGTAATCTGTGGTGTATGTCATGTAACTGATCTCGTTCTTTCTCTGTACAATCATGCTCTTCCTTCTCTGATGTTTCTTGCTGTCATCCACTGTTGCGAGTGAGGATTAAAGTGTCAGGACTCAGATTACAGCTTTAATGGTCTTATCTTCCATGAAGAAAAGAGCAGACAACATGGGAGCCACTGGTTGATCATTTAGCGCAGACAAGATGATGCAGATTGGTACGAGACGGCAGACAACCTCAACCAGAAGAATCACAATGGAAGTGGACTGCCGCCATGATCTCGATGAGGGAGGAGAGAGCGCCTTAGAGGGCAGCACATGCTCGACAGCGAGATCCCAACTTCAGAGCAGGAAGGGACGTGGAATATACTTTGTTAGTGGAGTGTGGGGGAGACAACGGTAGGTGTTCACTGTGGAGGTATCTCCTTCTTCCACCTCTTTGTGGAGTAGCTCCCACCATGGGGCTTCAATCATGGAGCACCAAAGGCGAGAGTCGGGGTGGAGTGGGAGGCATCCTTTGGCATTTCAATGAGCTTATGATGCATCTCACTATGGAGTTTGTGCACAACAAAATACTCCATTTCAATCATAAGACATTGGCCACAAGATTCTTCTGCCTCTGCTGTTTCAAGGGAGTGATGATGCTGCCTGCTCTACTGAAAAGCTTGCCATGGTTTACCAGGTTAGCAGCCAAAAATTAGCCCATCCGTTTACCTAGATTAGAAGGGCTTCTCTCTCTCTCTCTCTCTCTCTCTCACCAACATAGTAACTAGATGCCATGTATGTTCTGAAAGAATATATATGTAGAGGAATCTCTTCTTTGGCAGCACTCCTCGGTCCTCATATCCCACCTACCTTAGCCTCTCTCTCTCTCTCTATCTCTCTCTCTCTCTTTCCCTCAATGATATATTGATGTCTCATCTCAGTTGGAAGGAATCTATACGAGCTGGGGTTGTGACAAAGGGGTTTTCCTTCACTGCTAGCATCCCTAATGTTCTTGAGGTAAGCTTTTTAGGACACTTCAAAACAGAGACCCAAAATCCAGCCTCTCTCTCTGTCTCTCTCTATGTATGTGGATCCACCATCTATCTCTACTTGTTCATGATATATTGATATACTCGTCACTGTTGAAAAGAATCTACATGCAAGTTGTGGTTTAGACCAAAGAAAATTTCTCCACCAGCAGATCACCTACTTCCCTTTACTTGAGGTGAGCTCCTTGGAAGACAAAACATGAATCCTATGACCTCCTCACCTCTCTCTAGAATGAGAAGCATGCCATGCTCATCTCTCTCTAGAAATTGTCTTTTTTGCCATCTTTCTTTTCGATTTGTTTCTTTTTCTACATTTCCTAATTGTTGTTACACAGTATTGGTGAGAGGCAATGAAGCCACAGGCTGTTGATATGCTGAGAATGAACATTTGCAGCATTTAAATGGTAGCTTTCCCATTCTTGCCATTGATATGTTGTTATTCTAACTATTTAGCAAAGAGCATATCTCCCTGTAGCAAACATTTCTTTTGTTATGATTCTTGTGAAACTGATTTGGTGCCTTTTCTGGATTAATCATTCAGTGAAGCATTCACCACTGAATTGATATTGTTTTAATGGATCAATCTGTGACAACCCTTTAAATATACCAGCTAGTGTGAAGACAATATAACTCATATGGTTATAACAGGTAAGTTGATATACACTGATTTGGAAAATCTTAATGTTGTAATCCTTCACAAAAAGTGGATTATTATATACTTGATAAGTATCAGATTCTCAGGCGTAAGCAACTAATGATTCCTACTAAGTTTACCCAACATAATTTCTTCTTTATCCAACTCTTTTGAGGAAAAAAAGGGAAGAGAAAGAGATTATGTTAGTAGGCCTTTTTTATCCAAATTATTTCTCCAAAAGCTTGATTATGTTAGTAGGCCTGTTTATTCAAAATCTTTTAATTAAGAAGCATATCATGCCTTTTTTATGAGAATTTAGTCTCACAAAATACATGTTCTCATGAGCTTTTCTTTCCTTTGTTTTTTTTATGTGCTGAAATTATTATAAGTTGCTTTTGTTCGGTGGCTCAACTTTTATGGTTGGAGTTTGGTAAATGATAGCCTTTCATCATACATAGTCGCTTTAAGGCTTCTTTAGGTAATATATACATATATCCTTAATCTTTTTGGTAGGCCCTGCAATCCTTTGGAAGATCAGTGTTATGGGGATCCTGAGGTCTCAAAAACATCTTTAGATGATATCTCCCTACTAAGTTCTATACTGGTGTTTAGCATGCTGGACTCTGCCACTGAATTGGCTAATTTGTTTGGCCACCAGCCACTTGCTCATCACCAACTTACCTCTTCATGTCCCCTTGGTGGAGGTGACATGAATCTTGTTGCTTTAGCAGATTTCCTGTTCATGTAGAAAGCAGTGCCAAGGAACTTCCAACTGTAGCATAGTTCTATGTTTTGCCAAGCTATTATGCTAAGCTCTGTTCATAGTGATTTAGAAGTTAAAGTTGCCATTTCCTCATTACCAAGTGAAGGCCCAAGCAGAGCCAGTATACTAAACACAGAGAACACAAGTTTCATTTTCCAAAGTGCATTGAATATATTGCACCTTATATACAAAAAGACTTGATATTTTAAGCCAAAATAAGAAGATGTAGGAAAACTCTGTTGCTTGCTATCAGATACTGAGATTTCAAGTTTGTTCTGTGCATGCTGATCAAACAACTTTAGCGATTAGTCTTTAGCTGTGACCTGAAATTTTCATCTCATACAGGGTAAGGTTCAAGGATGACAGAATCACTGATCTGTAGTGGAAGATCTCATGTCATTTGTGGAAGGGAAGAACCACAGCAGTAAGGATGAAGTACATGAAACTTGGAATAAAGCCAGACACTTTCTACACAGGGGAAGCTACAAGGTATGTATTTGTTTCAGACCAAAGATTAACAAAAATAGGAGATCAGACAGTTGTTCTAAATGAAAAATAGGAAGACAGATTGAGATTCATGCGGAGCAGTGGATCATATAAATCAAGATTTTTCTTCAGGAAAAGTTTAATCTGAATTGGCTTGTTGTCGTTGTTCATGGATTGTTCTCATCAAGTTCTTAACTTTGTTGCAGATCAGTGCTATCAGATGTTCCAACTGATCTCATCATTCATGTTAATAACACCAAATACCTCTTGCATAAGGTCCAGTCCCAATCTCTCCCTCTCTCTCTCTCTCTCTCTCTCTCTCTCTCTCTCTCTCTCAAATACACAAAATACTTTGGATATGTATGCATATATATATATATATATACCCAAAGAAATCTATATGCATATATATATACTCAAAAAAATCTATACCATGGTAAATAAGAGTTTGTATGATGCATAATTCTGGCAATCAATCAGGTAATACTATAAAGCAGGCACCTAATTCCTGTAATTATACTTTGCAATTCATGGTCTAAAAAACATAAATGTATACATACATGCATACTATGAATGGCTTACCTGCTAATCAAATGACAGAGTGAGTTGGATTTCTTTTACTGATTTCCATTGAGATAGAATGTGCAGCAGATCAAAGTAGGCCATTTAGGAGGAAGAAACTGAAAGCTTCTCCATTAATTCAAGTTATTTGTGTGTTTGATCATGGCTTTTATCCTAGTTTTCCATATCAATTTAAGCTACAATTGGAGTCCTGAAACTATCTTCATGTTCCAATTTGTTCAAAGCTTTTGATTTCAGCGCATTTTGACTGCAGTTTCCACTTCTGCCGAAGTGCGGTTTCATCCAACGCCTCTGCTCCGACACCGACACCGACGCCGGCCAAGCAATCCCGGTGGCTCTTCATGATGTTCCGGGAGGGGAAGAAGCCTTTGAGCTCTGTGCCAAGTTCTGCTACGGCATCACCATCAACCTCAGCGCCCACAACTTTGTGGCAGCACTGTCTGCAGCAAAATTCCTGCGCATGACCGAGTCGGTGGCCAAAGGAAACTTCATCGCCAAGCTCGAGTACTTCTTCGAGTCATGCGTCCTCCAAGGCTGGAAGGACTCGATCATGGTGCTCCAGTCCATGTGGAGACAGTCCGGGTGGTCGGATGAACACAGGATCGTGCAGCCATGCATGGATTCCGTCATCGAGAAGATCCTCATCCATCCATCTCAGGTTCTTATGCAGCAACAAAGAGGTTTGTCTTCATCGAAGCTTATCTTAGATGATCATGGTGTTGATCTCCAGGTTACATGGTCCTACACCTACACGAGGCCAGGCTACAAGAAGCAGCGACATGGCGTCCCCAAGGACTGGTGGACCGAGGATGTTTCCGATCTCGACCTCGATCTCTTTCGATCCATCATCTCCACCGTCAGATCCACCAAGAAGCTCCCTTCGGCTCTCGTCGGCGAAGCCCTCCATGTCTATGCCTGCAGACACATACCGAGCCCACTGGACTTCCAAGCTCAGAGCTCTGTAGCACGAACTGACGAAACCCCGAGCAAGCACCGACGAGTGCTCGAGGCCATCGTGAGCATGATCCCGACCGAAACAGCATCCGTCTCCGGCAGCTTCTTGCTGAGGCTTCTTAAGCTTACAATCTACGTCGGAGCCTCTCCGTCTACCAAAGCCGAGCTCGTGAGACGATCAGGTCGCCAACTGGATGAAGTCACTGCAAGCGATCTGCTTCTTCCGGCGGGCACAAACGCCCAGTCTCATGACACCGGCATGGTGAAGGCAATCCTGGAGAGCTTCCTGCTGCAACTCCGCCGACCGATGCCCCGAGAGGAGACCGAAAGGATGACCATGTCCATGACCAAGGTGGGGAGGACCTACGACTCCTACCTGCGGATCATTGCAAGCGAGGGTGGTTTACCGGCGTCGGAGTTCATCAAGCTCGCAGAGTCCCTGCCTCAAGTGTCAAGAGAGCAACATGATGGGCTCTATGAAGCCATTGATACCTACCTAAAGGTAAGACACGAACTGTGCATTACCAACTACGACCTCACGGTAGCCTTAAATCTCGTGAACTCCCAACTGTCGAACGACGTAGGAGCACCCGGAGTTGAGCAAGGCAGAGAGGAAGAGACTCTGCAGAATGATCGACTGCCGGAAACTTTCGCCGGAAGCACTTGCAGATGCTATAGCCAACGACCAGCTGCCACTGCGCACGATCGTGCAGCTTCTGTTCGTCGAGCAAGAGAGGGTTGGAGGAGGCGGTGGTGGTCAACACGCTCCTGTCATCTCATCCAAGACCGAGGTTTCAGTGGCCAAGATAGCTCAAGACGAGGTCACAAGCTCCAGAAATGGACCGGAGGGTGGACACAGAGCCGAGAAAACGAAGGTGGTGCCATCACCATCCGAATCCAAGATAGCAGAGGAGGAGAGGAAGGTGAAGGCTGGAGGACTCGCCACCAAGCTCAAGACCAAGTGAACCGAGTCAAGTCAAAGTCAAAATGGATGAGGAATATGGTGACTGACATGCTACGATCAGTTGATGATGTTTGAAATGGCATGACAATGTGGGTTTTATCATCCTCCTTCTGAAGGATAATGTTTGCTTGCAGAGGTAACACAGCAGCCGCCTCCAAAATCCATGTCATGATTCATGAATAAATAGTACCATTAATTCTTTCTCATGAGCATGGAGGATGAAATAATGATCACTTGAAGAACAAAATTATTTTAAAAATAAAAAAATATTTATTAGCTCTTATATTGATTTTTTTTATCACATATATAATAAATAATACACTAATCAACTCGAATATTTTTATAAAAATAAAAATATTTTTTTATGAGAGATAAACGATATAAATCATCCCTTTTAAAAATATATTAGTCAAATAATTTATATTTTATATTATCAAGATTGATATCATTTACATATTACAAAATAATTTATATTTGATATTAATATATAACGATATATATAATTTTGCTTATTTGAAACTTAATGACCCAACCAGAACGCGCCTAACGACCTCCTCCTCTCTCCTCCGATCTTGTTAGCGTCGACAAGCGGGGGGGCGATGCAGAGGACGGCGTAGGCGTGGTGAGCAGTATCCGCCGCCGCCTCTTCTTCCTCGCACCTCGCTGACTGGAACTCCTACGCCGCCTTCGAAGCCGAGGCCGCCGTCACGACCTTCAACGAAAAGTTCGCCGGCACCTTCAGCGTGTGAATGCACTCCCCATTTTTTATTGGCGTTTTTTTCTTCTAACAATTTGGGGTTTAGGTTGAATTAATCGAGGAAGATATGATCTTACGAGATTTTGGGTCGGTTTCTTGTTCTGATTGCCATTTCGTTCTGTTTGAAGGGGATGGGATTTTAGGGTTAAAGTCTCTTCGCTTGACGAACTTCAGCGTTAAACCGAACGCGAGCAGTCGAACATTATTAAGCCCTTCAGCGTTAAACTGGTCCGAATTATGCTTCTTTAGATGAGGTTTTAGTGTTGAATCAATAGAGGAAGATATGATCTTACGAGATTTTGGGTCGGTTTCCTGTAGCTGATTGCTATTTGGTTCTCTTTAGACGGGATGGGTTTTTAGGGTTGAAGTCCTTCAGCACTAAACTGTACAGAAGTAGTTTTGAACATTATTAAGCTCTTTAGATTTGATGATACAAAGAACCGTAGTATTAATTTGAACATTATTAAGCTCTTTAAATTCTCAAATGCTTTGGCAGATGATGTTGTTGTGTCAAAGTCATGCTTTTCTTGATGGCAACAACAGAAGTAGAATCTTGTGTCCGAAATTTAAAGATCTGTGGCTTTAATGAATAGGTGTATCAAAATCATGCAGACACATCTTTGGGTTGAGACCCTGTTTACATAAGAAAAGCTACAATCTCAGCCTACCTACATCTCTTCTTTGAGAAAGAACATGCTTGATACCTGTGCTTTATTGAACTTGAAGCAGAGGTACCTCGATGATGAAGGCAGGCTCAGTCCATCCTCCAGGCATACAGAAAGAAGCAGAACTCCTGAGACCCACCCCCACCACAGCTGCTGACCAAGGAGCTCTCGCTGTTGTTGCGCCTGGAGCTAGTCGGCTTGCCGCTGCTGCCGCGGTTCCCCGCCGCTGCCGAGGCCGGCAATCCGGGCTTGAAGATGAACAGGGCATGCCCCGATCCGGGGCCTCTGAAGAGCCAGCCGTGCACGTCCCAGAACACCTGCACCGGCACCTGCTCCACCCACACCGTCTCGTTGCCCCGGAACTTCCACTGCAGATTGCTCACGTGGATCAGGACGATGCCGTCGATGCTGATCCACATCTCTGGGTCCTTGTGCCCTGAGATGGAGTTCACCACGATGATGTCATGCTCCTTCTTCCGGTCATCGAACTTCACCCTGGACGAGAAGCACTTCTTTCCGAAGACGTTCTCCTTCTTGGAGAGCAACGTGACGTCCTCCAAAGAGGGCCTCGACCTGGTCTTCCTGTAGGCTTTCTTCTTCAGATCACCCAGCAACATGACGACTTCCTCGCCGCAGACGAGTGCGACATAGTAGTTCTCCAATGGCTCGGGCCCGTCGGAGAATTTCGCCGACCGGAGGTTCCAGAAGACGTCAAGGCGCTCGCTGTCGTCGTCGAAGGACTTGGAGCCCTTCAACTTGCTCCAAAATGGCCATGGCTTGAGGTCCACCTTGCACGTTAAGGGGCTCTCGCCGTTGGACTTGTCGATGGAGACGGAGAGCGAGTGGTTCATGAGGTTCTTGGTCCAGACCACCGTCACATTTCGAGGTACGCCTCCTACCATCGCTCGGTATATGGAGATCACTGAGCATTGCGGTGTTGGTTCCTCTGCAGGATCACGATGAGCGGTGGCAGCGGGCTCCTCCATATTTGGTACGATCTTTTTGACGATCAATCCTACTATGTTTGTCATTGATTGAAACCCAAGATCACAAAGAGCACCCTGAGAATATCAATTATATGGAACAGTTCAATCATGTTCTCGGTTGCAGGACTCCTCGAATCGAGCAACTCAGTTCAAGGACGATTTCTCTGCAATGGCAATCAACACACACGCACTGCATTCGAGGGTCAAAAAAGAAAAAAAAAAAAGGTGGTCAAGCTCTACGACAACCCGAACAGGATATCTCCTCCATTTAACAAGATGGTAAAGCAACTCGGTGGAAGATGATCGGCTGGAATAAGAACAACTTACTTGGAGGTGCAAGCAGGTACAATGTTGATGATCGTCTCTGGGTTAATGTTCCTGGGCTTGTCGTTTCCTTTTGCCAGAACCAGATGACCTTGCCAAATTCGCTGTAGTTTTTCTTATGATGATCGTTATGGCCTTAGAGGTGAAGCATCAAGCTGATGATTCATCACCTCACTGACCCAAAGCATCCATCCTAATCAACTAGCCACAGATTCCACCAATAGATCATTAAATCAGGATAGGAATGAAAAGGATGTCTAAAATAAACCCATACGAGGGAGAAAGTGTGGTGGAGAGAAATAGTAGCAGACAACTTCTCCGTCTCCTTCAGTCTCATTGTCTCCTCTCAGACTCATTACTATTTTAGAAACCATGAGGCGCATGCCTTGGTCATGGTTTCAATTTCAGAAATACTGGTTTTCCTGAGAAAATGAGAAGCATTTGCAATGTTGCAGTCCAGTAATATATCAGGTAGCTTAATGCTGACTGCAGAAATTTATGTACCTTTAGCTCCTCTTCTCCTTGTTCAAGGCCTGGTTGGTTGGATGCAACTTTATGCCAGTGCACGAGGGACAGTATTTTTCCTCCAAAAGAAAAGGTACACATCATCTGATCCTTAACCTGACATGGATTTCTTTCTAGCCGTGACGATAAATTCTTCCAAAGAAGAAAATGGTCCAGTAACTTAATCTATTCTGAGACTTCAAATTATTATGATCTTTGAAACATTTTATATCTGTGCATTATGGTTCTTAACAGTTACAGAGGAAGAAGGGATGACGAAGAACTCATGCACTGGGACGGAGGATTCTGGGTCTCAGCTTATTAATCCAAGCAAGAAGTTGACACCTGTTTCAGTCTGTCATAATCAAGGGTCCGGATCAACCATGGCCGACCGCAACCCAGCGTGAACCAACACCAGAGAGCTGTCTGCTTGAGGACTGGCACGCATGGTTCTTCGGGCGGAGTTCCTCATCTCCACTCAAAATCATTGGCCACGACAGGCATGGAGGGATAAGAACGGTGTCAGCACCACAGTGTGCCACCCGTTTCCCTATCCAAGGACGATAACACACTCCGGGTTCATCTGCAAACACGCGTCGATCGCAGGTAGCAGATCCTCTGTGGAATATCCTCTTGGTAGTGCCTATAAAATACTGTCTCCTTAAAAGGTTTGTTTTGAGCTCAGGCCATCGGACATTTCCTTCCCTTCGCTGCAGCTACCTTCTCTGCCGCTCGGTGGTCACCATGTCTGCCTTCGTTGGAAAGTATGCAGGTGAGTGTCCTTCCCATGTATTCTTGTCTTACATCAAGAACAGAGACTCCGGGTCCACTAAATCTTGTGTCTCATTGACATGGAAAGAATTTAATTATGCAAATACTGCTCTAGATGGACGAAAACTGGATGTCAAATTCTTTGGATAAGTACCGAAAACAGGCTTCCATCGATACTGCTGTAAACATGCACTGCATACTGATTGATTCCTGATCCAACCACTTCATAAACAATTTGTAATTTCATGAACTTCCCTAGCAGTCGAGTCATTTCAACCACATTAGAATTCTAAGTTTAAACTGCATCTGGTGATATGGTAAGGTCAGAAAGTATGGCAAAAACATATGCCACCATGCAAACTCAGATATTAATTTCTCACTTGGGTATAAACTCATAAACCAATCATATGCAAGTATCTAATATTAAATTGTCATCTCAAATTGGTTATAGGATTGTGTCTCATGTATGATTTTGCAAACTGCAATTGTGCCAGAACATAATGTTGTTCAGATTAGGTTTTTTTTTCTCCGTTACTGCAGATTTAGATATAAGATTGCTTCATGCATATCTTGGAAATTTCCTAGACTTAAGATTCTTCTTCTATATATTTTTATCAAAAGGATCTTCATGCAAAAAATAAATTGTAATGGTTTGAAATTATTGAGATATATATATATGAAAAATCATCTGCATGCTTTCTTCTATCCATCACGAGCTTCCAAAAAGACCATGTATGTTGAGCCATAAAGTTGAAGGAGACATTGGTTTGAGAAACTGCCAATACTTCAACCTGAAAAGGACATGAAAAATTAGGGCATAATAAAAAACATTAACATCTCCATATCCATAAATTTTCTTGTGATAAAGAAAGAAGAAAAGCAACTGGTGGCTGACATTTATGATTTATCTTTTTAGGATAAGGTGAAGCCATCCATGACTTGGGTGGCACAAAAACTAGCTTATCTGCTACTCTCACAATATCTACCAACTTTTGAGTCTGGAAACACAGAAGAACTCCATGTGGCTGATATAGCATCATCAACCCAACCATACTTTATGTATGCTGCACACGTCAAATTAATGCCCTATAAACACTAGAATCTGTTGACTATTAGTGCCCTAATTTTGATACTTGTTATATTGTTATACATCGTATTCGGAGTCTTGTTACCGATTTCATCATCTATCATCTCTAATCTGAGTTAAAAATAGTTGGGTTCTCGGATCCGGTCAAGTAGAAACCGAATCCGAATTAGGTGAAGCAGTTTAACGTAGATTACGTGACCGAGTGTTCTTCTCCATGCACGTAGACGAACTGATCCGGACCGCCAAGTACATTGCCACCCCCGGGAAGGGCATCCTGGCCGCCGACGAGAGCACCGGCACCATCGGCAAGCGGCTGTCGAGCATCAACGTGGAGAACACGGAGCCAAACCGCCAGGCCCTCCGCGAGCTCCTCTTCACCACCTTCGACGCCCTCCCCTCCATCTCCGGCGTCATCCTCTTCGAGGAGACGCTGTACCAGAAGACCTCCGCCGGCAAGCCCTTCGTCGACGTCCTCGCCGACAACAAGGTCATCCCCGGCATCAAGGTGGACAAGGGCATCGTGGAGCTCGCCGGCACCAACGGCGAGACAACCACCCAGGGCTTTGACTCGCTGGGCGCCCGGTGCCTGCAGTACTACAAGGCCGGGGCCCGATTCGCCAAATGGCGGGCGGTACTCAAGATCGGGCCGACGGAGCCGTCGGAGCTAGCCATCCAGCAGAACGCCCAGGGGCTGGCCAGGTATGCCATCATCTGCCAGGAGAACGGCCTCGTCCCCATCGTCGAGCCGGAGATCCTCACCGACGGCAACCACGACATCAAGAAGTGCGCCGCCGTCACCGAGACTGTGCTCGCCGCCGTCTACAAGGCGCTCAACGACCACCACGTGCTTCTCGAGGGCACGCTCCTGAAGCCCAACATGGTCACGCCCGGCTCCGACAGCCCAAAGGTAACAGCGACGTATGTGGGCGCAGCAGCACGTCCATGGCGAGCGGGGCTGATCTCTGAGTCCTCTCTTCTGCGTACAGGTAGCGCCGGCGGTGGTGGCCGAGTACACTGTGGGGGCGCTGCGCCGCACCGTGCCCCCGGCGGTGCCGGGGATCGTGTTCCTGTCGGGAGGACAGAGCGAGGAGGACGCAACGCTGAACCTTAACGCCATGAACAAGCTGGGGGTGCTGAAGCCGTGGACCTTGTCCTTCTCCTTCGGCAGGGCTCTGCAGCAGAGCACCATCAAGAAGTGGAGCGGGAAGAAGGAGAACGTGCCGTCGGCCCAGGCGGCGTTCCTGGCGAGGTGCAAGGCCAACTCGGAGGCGACGCTCGGGAAGTACGCCGGCTGCGCAGCTGATGCAGCGGCCTCGGAGAGCCTGTACGTGAAGGATTACAAGTACTAGTTCCAAGTGCTGCGTTGCTGCCATCGGCCATGTCTCCTTTATCTCTCTCTCTCTCTCTCTCTCGAATCCACCTCTTCTCTTTTGACCATACTATCTGCCAGCATCTGAGCTTGTTTATATATACTATCTGCTCTGATATTAATATAGCCACTTTGTGCATTAAATTTGGGTGCTTCTCATTCAAATTAAATGCCATATCAACCATGACTATGGGTAATGAATTTGGAGTTGCTGGTGTTCACAACAGAGGAAGAAAAAATTTCGAGTATAATTTTTCTTTTTTTGTTCTTCTCATCTTCGACTCATGTTTCCCCTTTTTTCCAGTGTGATTTAAAGACTGGTAGGCATATATTCCCTTTGTCTTCCCACTATAAAACTAAATCGTGTTTGCAGACTCATCACCTCTGGCTAGAAGGTTGAGGATCAAACCTGGTCATGGTTAGAGATTGAAGTTGACGCCAATCAAAACCATCTCCATCCAAATTATTGGACTGCTGGTCCTGTTGTCAGTGCATGTACGTATCTCACTGCATCACCACTCTGCACCACCTGACAACATAAGGTGAAAAGAAATCAACACTGTGTTTAGGCTGCACAGCTGGCCAAGCCCTAATGCCTGCCACCATTGGACCAGCCAAAAGTTCATCATAAATGCTTTGCTTAGGTCCTCTCCAAACGCAACCAACTTCAACCAAGCGGCCTCTTCCCCTCGTTCCATCGCTTTCTTCATCCTTCCCTGCCTGCCCTGGTGCCCCAAACAGGTATTTCTCTCTCCCTCTCTATCGTTCGCAATACCAGGTTTGTCGCTCCCTTTCTGGGTCTTATACGAAGATTCTAGGGTTCTACCATCTGTGCCGATAAATTTCCATCACCCTCCCAATCGCAACTTTTAATTTGATCTCCATCTTTCTCTCTTCCTGTTTGTTCAGTTCAAAATTGGTTCAGACCCCTCCCTCCTCTTTTCTTCGCTCAGTCGATCTATCAAAACTGGAAATTTCTTGGGTTCTTCTTAGAAATTCTGGATTTTGATTTGTTTTTTCTGCAAAAGATCAGGTTTTGACCTTTGTTTTGTGTTGTTGGTTTTAGTTCTGATCAGAGAGAATGGATCAGCCGGGCCACACCACCCCGCCGGTGATGGGCGTCGCCACTGGGGTGCCCTACGCCGCGGCTGCCGGCGGCGGCCCCTACCAGGCCTACCAGCATCTGTACCACCAGCAACAGCAGCAGCAGCAGCAGCAGCTCCAGTTGTTCTGGGCCGACCAGTACCGCGAGATCGAGCAGACCACCGACTTCAAGAACCACAGCCTGCCGCTCGCCCGGATCAAGAAGATCATGAAGGCGGACGAGGACGTCCGCATGATCGCCGCCGAGGCCCCCGTGGTCTTCGCCAGGGCCTGCGAGATGTTCATCCTCGAGCTCACGCACCGGTCGTGGGCTCACGCCGAGGAGAACAAGCGCCGCACCTTGCAGAAGAATGACATAGCCGCCGCCATCTCCCGCACCGACGTCTTCGACTTCCTCATCGACATCGTGCCGAGAGAGGAGGGGAAGGAAGACGTGGCCCGCCCGCTCGGTGGCCCGCCCACCGACCCGATGTCTTACTACTATGCCCAGCAGTAGCAGTAGCAGCATCAGCATCAGCATCAGCATCAACAATGTGAGTCTTGTGTAATGCTCTCCATCTTGTGTTCTTTGCCTAATGTAGCAGCATCAGCAATGTGTTGTGGGCAAAACTAATCCTAAGGACTTGCTTGTCATGTGGTCAGTTCTTGTGATGGGTTGTGTTGCTCAACATTGCCCCATTCAGTTCCTTGTATGTCTCACAACAAGTTTGTGCCATGTCAAGCACTGTTGTTAAGTTTAATTATGGTTTCAAACAATCTCAATTGTGGTTGGTGTCATGTTAGATTTAGTCGAATGGGGTCGTGAGAATCTCCATGCTTGTGTTCGCCGAAATTACATGGTGCTTTTGATGCACCATTGATTGCTTAACAAACAATTAATTTATCTTAGTAGGCATACAAAGGCATCACTAGCAATTCAACTCTTATTCCTTTTATCGACTTGGCACTTTGTCGGGTTCCTTACATTTTCATATGGTAGATCCTTTTTGTTTGACATACATCTATGCTTGTGTAATGCTAGTTGATGGTTTAACTCGATCTTGGTGTAGTACGAGATTATAATTTTGATAGACATGTTGATGTCGTAGTTAATGATCATCTAGTGACACGTGAAGAGTTGTGTATGGAGAGATTAGATGAAGATAAGTTCCCAATGCCATGTCGGTGAGGAAACAGGGATAAAGTTGCAGCTAGTCAGCCCAATTTAGGTCACAAACATGATTGAAGTTTGTTTCTTCTCCATCTGTTTCAGGTGGGTCTATGTTTTCTTTTGCAGAGAAATAGTTTGTTGAAGGATTCAATTCCCTTGGATGATGGTGGTTGAATGATAGCAGTAATTTTGTTGAAGGATTCAATTCCCTTGGAATAACTTGCTGATGTTTAATGATTGGGTTCTCTTTGTTAACACAATGTTTTCAGCCATAGCCATGTGGCCAACCACAATTACATCTTAATTGTAGCTCGACACTTGTGTAGTTGTTATGTTGCAGTAGAACAGATTGACTGAGGTTGGTAAACCACATTGATGTCATCTTAGTGATCCTTTGGTGACTTGAAAAGAGTGGCTTATGTAGACCTGCTAAAGAAGAGTTCTAAATGCCATGTCGGTAGGACACGAGGACAAGCTCGGTCACATTAATTCTAAGCATGACCGAAGATTGTTTCTTCTCCATCTGTTTCAGGTGCGCCTCTGTTTTCTTCCGCAAAGAGATGTTTTCTCCGACAATGCCTTGTCTTCCCCGTAAGTCATTGCTATTAGCATCCATCTGGATTCGGAAGGAGCGGAAAACAGTCGACCTGTGGAACAGGATGATGGTGGTTGAATGTTTTAACTTGTTATAACTTGGTATCGTCGACTGTTTCCACCAAGGCAATGTTTTGTTTAAAGGATCTGCTTCTCTTGGAAAATAACTTACTGATGTATGGTGATCAAAATTTTATGATCTTTTCAAGTGTAGTAGATATGAAGGAATTGATATCATTGTGGCTGTTGTTGCTATTGTTGTGGTGGCTAGGAAGATGGTGTTTTGTTGATTTCTTGACACTGGCTTTATGATGCTGAAATACCAGCATTGTATTGTGAGCTGTGTTTGGAATTGTTTTGAGAGTTCGAAATCTCGTTCGATATATTTCAAAATCTTAATTATTCGATATATTTATGATTATTATTTTATTTTTATTTTTAAAAAAAATATTTTTTACTCAATTATTTTTTATTTTTTAAAATTTTAAATCGATTCAAATCAAACTGGATCGGTTGGATCTGATTCCATGTTTCAAGAATCAGAATCGAACCGTTAAAACTTGATGTGATTCTATTTCGATTCGATGGATTACTAATTTGATTGATTACTAATTTGATTCAACCATAATGGAAAGAATGTGTCCAGGCAAATATGGATTACTAATTTGAAGTACATGGGGGGGGGCTTCAAACCTCCGGTCACATTAAGACCCAATCCCGGTGAGAGATCCTTGAGATTCGTGCGACTTTCGTTCCTTCCACCTGCGGAGCACTTCAACTAATCCTGCGGCAAGGATTCGTTTTCTCGCTTCCGGACTAGCCGTTACGCGTTCGACCACCGAGTCCACAGCCCACGTTCTCCCTCACCCGATCTTGAAGCCCTAATTTGATCTCCTTTCGAGAAATCGTCCCCGGTGGTATTTTCCTCCCCATTTTGATCGAATTCTACTCCACTCCCTTCTAATCTCTCTCTCTCTCTCTCTCGCAATTGTGCTTGAGAGATCGACCAATCCGAAGTATGTTCACTGGATGGCTCGACGAATCGGCCATCAGCTGGATCAAGCAGGTCCGCTCCACCATCCTCT